CTTCAACAGTTTCCGAGCGGATACTGATATCGGCATCTTCTATCTATAAATATATCGGGACGAAATATCGAGTAAAAATTTCCCTTGGATAAGCCTTGAAACACAAATTTTCAAGAGGCCGTAAACAAGATGAAAAAGAATCCTCGACAAGAAAATAAGAAAAATTAATACTTATTTGAAAAGAAAATCCAACAATCTACATTGGAAACGAAATAACTTATACGGATAGATTGATTAATTTTCTCAAATGTTTCTTTTTGTTGAATTCGATTAGCGAGTCTCCGTTCTAACGTTCTAACAACAACTGTTAAAAAAAGGATCAACTTTAAACTCTATTATTATTCAAAAATTTGTTACTCGGCTCGAGTATCGGGAATCCGTGAAATCGTGTTTCAGCTTCCTTTGCCGTATCCTCGTTATAACGAGATCAAATTGAAAATAGTTCAAAGCGAGTACTTTTTTCTTTTTCTCTTTTTTTTTTCTGCCCCTCCCTCGAGCGAGGTGCGAAACTTGTAACTCGAAGCGCGGCGGAGAATTGGATAGTTTCGGAGGGGGGAGGGGAGGGAGGATCGCGTGGACAAGGGGCAATCGGCCGGTCTTGCGGTTCCAGTTGTACCCATTGAAATTACCAGCTGGCGAATTGGCAAGTGCGATGGCGCAGCTAACGGGAGAACCTCCAATCAGTAGGTAATTGCTTCATTCCCGTTCCCGGCTCCGACGCAATATCGCGGTTCTCTGACCCGTGCCTTCACTTTCAAAGATTTCTATCCCGTCTCAAAGGACCACTAGGGGGCGAGGGAGGGAGAGGGGCAATTTTTCCCTCGTCCCAAACGCGTTAATTCGGCTGGATTCGTTCGACAACGTTTATTATTATTATTATTATTATTATTATTATTATTATCATTATTATTATTATTATTATTATTATTATATTTTATAGAAATCTCTTATCGAGCAATTAAAAATTTTCCTTCGTCAAACAATTGGAATAACAATTTTCGTTTAATCACATTAACAATGCTATTGTTCATTTCTCGAGAGAGAGAGAGAGAGAAATGAAATTACACTATTACACTCGCAAAAGCGAGGGAAAATGGAGGAAAGGAAGGCTGGAAAGAACGAATAATAAAGCTTGCCACGAAGAATCGGAAAGGATCATAAGCATCGTTCGACTCGTTTCCGACGATTTCGCCGTAACAAAAGCCGCCGCCAACCCGTTTCCAACCGGACAACAAAGTTCATCTCTCGTCGAGCCCCCTCCATCCTCCCCCCCCATCCCCCGTAACGAAGACTTTGTACCCCTCTAGCGCCGGTATAACGAGACTGCGCTTTTGTATCACGGATTTTAAAGAGACAACCTGCACTGGTAAAGTGTACAAACATAACGAGCCGAGGAGTGGAAAGCGTTCAAACGCGTTTCCCTCCCCCTCCATCTCTCTCTCTCTTCCCCTCCCTCCTCCGTGATACCGCTTGGGGTGGCTTTTTCTTTTCGCGTGTAGTTGAGGAACGTTGGATCGGAATTAATGAACCGTAATCCCCCAATAATGAGGCTTCGGCTTCACTGGCTCTGATACGACCTCGCCACCCTTCTCTTACCCTCCCTTCGCCGCCTCTGTATCTATCGATGCGCATCCTCGTCCCGTGTAAATGTCATATATGCCACGCGACTTAGCCAGCCATTTCCACGCAACGGAGAAAGAGAGAGAGAGAGAGAGGCCTTCGAGGCTGTCGACGCGAGACAAATTATTTTCCTCAACAACACGCGTCGATGCTTTTCACCGCGCATAACGAGTTGTTCGAGCTCCGTAGAGAGAATACAAAATGTCGTACCCCTCTACCCCTACCCCCCGCTTTTTACAGCGTCTCCAGCCAGTGTGCAGCCGTGTCGATATTTTTCCCAGCTTTACGACGGAACGCCCCTGAATATTTTCGCCCTGCGAATTTTCCCATCGCCAATGACCTCGACGCTCGGGGTTGCATATCCTTGCACGCCCTTGCGACGAGTGGCCAACGTTTTATCTTTCAATTTATTCCCCATTTCTCTCAATAATAAAATTCGAAAATTATTTTGTGAAAATTTTGAACGATTCTGTTGGCTTGAATGACGTAAGTAAGTGAGAAAGAAATCTGTTTGGAAATTTCTTAACTTCGTTGAGGCGATGAAAATCAGAGTTTCAACATCAGTCGAGTAACACGTTTATAATATTATGTATCGTACGATACGATTTTGAATTACGTGACTGCTTTTATGCACGAAGTACTAGAATAGTCTACACGATACGTGTAATTGATTAGAAAAATTACTACTAATAAAATATATCCTGCCCAATCTTCACTTGGAACGGATTCGAGTTAAAGAATATTTTTAATCAAACTAATATTATTATTTTTCGAAAGGGAAAAGACGAAGAAACAATCAACGATATAATAGAATTATAATATAATTAATGAATTGCGATTGTATCACACTTATCTCGACACGCAAACGAAATTAATCGAATTAATTACTTACATCTCAAGAGGTACATGGATTTAGACAATTGTCCAAAAATTCTCCAAAATAATCAAAGCATCGTTATCCTGTTTCGAAGAAACGATCTTGAAACGCGTTAACCCTGTATCGCAACCCCTTGAACAAGCGCGGTCAAAATTAAGGGTGGTTTTAACCCGAGTTTCACGGTTTCGCGCGGCTAAAGGGTGGAGAAACGGCACGTATGAGTTCTCCCGGATACTCTTGATATTAGTTACAGTAATGCGGAAAGTTGTATCAAGCCATGAAACCCGCATAACTTTTATGCCTTGTAAACTGGCGCTGCCTGGTGGATCCAGGTTTCCTCGAAAACGGGCCGGTTATACGCCGCGTTTGGCCCCCATTCGACTCGGCCGTAAAACGAAACTTTTAATAATCGCGATTGCCGTCTCCTTCTCCCTTCCTCGTCCCCCCACCTCTCCTTCCCCTCGATTCATCGAACATCGATGAATTGTATTCGACGCGTGACCGTGAGTTAAAGTGGCGCTTCGAGTTAAATGCTAATGAGAATCGGGAATGAAAAATATCTGCACCGCTTTCAAAGCTTTTAATATATCCTCGTGAACTTATCGAGGTGTTCTTTCTCCTTCGATATATATATATACACGACTCGAGGCCAAAATTTTTGCCGATAAAAAAAAGAAAGAAATCTCTAACTTGTGTTCGAGTTGAAGAAGAGAAGGAAGAAAGAAAGCGACGGAGATATATTTTAATTTTTCTCTTTTTCCTCCGTACGAAAAATTTGTCTGTAACGAAACTCTGACTCGATTCCACGAGTAACGCCTACGTTCCATGGGATCGTATAAATTTTTACGTACGAGCTCGTTTCGTAGCCCGCCGGTATCCGACGATGGGTCTCTGTGTGTAAGGGATTTTACGAAAAATAGAATTAAACGAAAAAAAAAAAAAAAAAAAAAAGGCGAGGCTCGGGTGAAAAAGTTTTTACAAATTTCGAATCCGCGTATCCTTTGACAACGACACCGAAATGTTCGGCAACGAGAAATAATAAAAGCAAAAGCGCTTTTTATATACACGGGGCATACACAATATCCTCGATACAATTGGGCCGATATCGATGATACACCCTATCCGATTGAAAATCGTCTCTCGGTTATAATACATCGGTTCGATCGACCCGACCAACTCTTGGATCATCCTTTTCCATTCGATGCTTAACGCCCGTGCACGAACGGGTATTATCACGTACGTATTACGCGTTTTTAATGCAACGACACGTACCGATTCCATAAACGCGTCACAGTCGTGTTTTACACCCATTTTTTAAAACATTGTGCAAAGTTTCCGTAAAAAGGTCAATTATTATCCATTTCAACAATTTTAACTTTCGATTTAATGGATCGTGTTTTCCAAATTTCAATTTTCGAAAGGTAGATAACTAGCGAAGATTAAAAATTACACTTTTCCTTAAACGACGATATCTCGGGAATCGTATTAAGAGAATCGATCTTTCGTTCTTTCGATCGAAACCTGTTATCTTGCGAATTATAACGGTTTAAAGTTTCCCCGATTTCAATCGAATCTTTAAGGTTGCGTAATGGATCTGTCTCGTGACGATTGATATCTATCGATAATTTTCTGAATGAAGAGAGAGAATGAAGAATTACGGAAGAATCGTAATAATAAGAAAGGATAGGAGCGAAAGGGGGAGGAGAAAGGCGTGCAAAATCGCGTGACGAGGAAGGGGATTTTCAGCAAGCGTGTCAACGGGTTACAATATTACCGTCGTTATATAAACTCAGACACGCCCAGCATTTGCATTGATGACGTGAATATAATATATCACCAGAAAGCTTGAAAGCTGAGCTTTTCTCCACACCCAGCCACAATGGCCACTGACCACCTGTTGCCTTTCCATTTATATTTTAGACGCGGTGAGAAACGTCATCGCCTTACGTATCCTCGTAAACATCTCAAAGGGGAACGTCTTCCCCATATTTTTGAAAAATCCTTTCGCTCGTTCAACGCCCTCCCTTATCCGTAACCGGCCGCGATAAAGGGACAACAATAATTTCTCTCTCTCAGCAAAATTTTTCCACAAAATTTTCCTCCTTTTTTCTCTTCGACGCGGAAAAATAAACGAGTTAATTTTTAATAAGTAACGTATAATCCTGTTTGATGATCACGCCTGTTGTCGAAGCGGCGTCATCATCAAATTTTCCACGCGCAAATTCATGGAGGATGAGAAGTCTCATGGAAATTAAGGCCTATCCGAGTATTCTTTCCATTTCACACTTGCTGAGAATCTTCCCTTTCCTGCAATAGTTCTTCCTTCGACGCATTGGAATGAAGATTTATTCCACCCAAGATTCGTATTAAGATCGATTTTTGGTTCGATTGAACGTAAAACCAGATATCGTGGATGAAGTGATGTGTTATAGTTACACGTATTGCATAATATTTGTGTATCACGATATAATTGAACGTGGAAAATCGAAATGATTTGTTTCAGGGTGCGTCATCCAGCTTAGTGGTAAAGTTCGCAGATACTGAGAAAGAGAGACAACTAAGACGCATGCAGCAAATGGCCGGGAACATGAGCCTCCTTAACCCTTTCAACGTCTTCAATCAGTTCGGCGCTTACGGCGCTTACGCTCAGGTGGGTCACAATTACGGTTAACGCTTCCTCTCTCCCCTGTGTTACCGTCTCTTATTATCGCAACCTGTAATTGTTTCCATCTTGTTAGAAATGGAGACCGGCGTCACTCGATATCGTTAATTTAATTTTTTTTTTTTTCGATATAAACTTTCGAAATTGAAAAAAAATCTATTCGAATTCGCGAGAAAAATTCTAGATTAATTTTCGAGACAAACGATTCTAATTACAGCAGCAAGCAGCTCTGATGGCCGCAGCAACAGCACAGGGGACGTATATCAATCCAATGGCAGCATTGGCACACGTCGGCGCCGGCCAACTGCCGCACGCGTTGAACGGCATGCCAAACCCTGTTGTTCCACCGACTTCCGGTACGTCTTTCATTTTATTTCATTTACGATAAACATCGATAAACTTCTTCTTCCCCGACATCGCATATCGCAACAACGGCTAAGAGCCAGACTAATAAAAAAGAGTTTTTTTTTCGCGAATACATCGTGGAAAAATTAATCTCAACGAGTGAAAAAAAAAAATAGAAAAAGTATCGAATTGAAAAATTAGGAAGAAGGAATTATATATATATATATATACATATTACTCCTCTTACGGCTCTTGGACGGAAGGAAATATGTTTCTGCGAAAATTTTAAAAGAGGAGAGAAAAAGAAAGGAGAGAGAGAGAGAGAGAGGGGAGGGTGAATATCCGAGAAATTATTCGAAATAAATGGGACACGCGAAGAAAAATATACAGTCCCGCCCCCTTATGTACACTTTGTTGTGAAATTTCCCAGTTTCACCGGGGCGAAACTTCTTTCTTTATCTACCCCCCTCCCCGCTCTCCTCCGCCTCCCCCCATTTATTCCTTTTCCCGCGGATCCAGGAGAGCGCGTACAGTCCGTTGCCTTATAACCGGCTCATAAATCAATACAACATTTTCACCGAGCGTGACTCGAGCGAAAGATATTGCCAGTACCGCGAAACTTTATCGAAAGCCTCGCCCGCCGAACGAGGGAAGGAGGAAAAGCCAAAGTGGCGGCACCGTTCCTTCCTCCTTTTCTCCTCCTTCCCTTCACCTCCCTCCTCCCCAGTTCTCCTCCGATTCGCCAACGCGTGCACAAGAGGAGGGAACGAAATAGCGCACGGCCAGGTAAACTAAGCGAGGAAATCGGCTCTCCAACGGTGGAGTTCTGGCGCGCTTTCGAGCCTCTCGAAACACCGATAATACCGTTCGATAAGGGAAAAATAATATTTTTATTTCTTCCTTCCTTCTTTCCTTTCGATCCTTTCCAACGGCTCGCCACGCCGCCACGCGCCGGCAGATTGGTCGCGCGCTTCTATTTCTTCGGGGGATACGTCCCACCTGTCAATTCTTCAGCACTGGGAAGGGGAGGGGGGCGATTTGTATGTAGAAAAGTGGACGGATGAAAAGTTGAAGGGATTTAATATTCGAGCGAACGTGGTAAAAAAATATTACTTTTATCTCGAATCACTTGCAAGAAGAAAATTTTATCTCCCTTTTCTTCTCTCGAATAAAGAAACGATTTTCAGTAAATATCTACAGAGATACTTTCTTATATACATTTCATCTTCGCGTGTCCCATTATAATAATACAAAATTCGAAATACTTTTCTCCCTATTTTTCGAGATAATTTTTTCCTAAAATGTATTATCACGTAATTTATTGCTCTTTCATACACATTGAATATATATATATATATATTCGTTTATTTTAAAAAACGCTGCGTCTGTCTCACAATCCCATTTCGAAGCTAAAATCGTCGTCCTGAAAAGCTTACTCTTCCAACAATTTTGATTCTGAAGCAAAACCGAATACTTTCCTCAAAAATATCCCTATACCAAAATCCCAAAGTCAAGAATATCGAGATCACAGATCCTAGAGATCATCCTAAGAGAAACAAAACGGTATCGATCCCGCCTGTGTATCATTAACCTGTGGCGATATTCAACCGCGAGTCGCGTTACATTAATCGCCTCTAAAATCTGGGATCGATATCCCAGAAATCTGCGGGATCCATCCGCGGCCGGGTCCTCAAACACTGGAACGCGAGGTCTCGCGCGTCCTTCCAATTACACGGTACACACACACGCGCGCGCGCGCGCGCGCCGCGTAAATATATCGGTGCAAATCGGTTGACAAGAGAGAGAGAGAGAGAGAGAGAGAGAGAGAGAGAGAGGGGGGGCCAACTCTCTGGGTAAGCGCGATCCGGTTGGAGATCCGATGGCCTCGCGGCGAGGGAGGGAGGGAAGGGAGGGGGTGACCGAGGGGTCGGTGTTGTAAGAGCAAGAGGGTAACCGGTGTGTACTGATCAGGTTTGCTCGTAGGTACCGGTACAGGGCAGCCTGTTAACGGGGCGATACCGTCGTTACCGTCGCCAACGATGCCCAATTTCAACATGGCTGCACAAACACCGAATGGTCAACCAGCAGGTTCGGATCCTGGTGTCTACACCAACGGGATACCGCAGACCTATCCGGGACGTGAGTATCAACTCAGGCGCAGTGTGCCGCCCCTGCGCAATGCTCGGCCAATCGACGCCGGACTTTATTATTTTGCCTTCGCGATGAGAAGCGGGTAACCTCGCCCCAGACACCACCAGGGGGTTACCCTCGATCCTTTCTTTCCTCCTCTTCTTGGAAAAATCTTTTTCACTTTTTCCTCTCCTTCGTCCTTTCCTTCCTTCCTTTCCTTCTTTTTCTCCCCCCTCCCTCTTCGCGATAAAGCGGGGAGGGGGTTGTTAAGTATCGAACGGCCGCGTTCACGAAAAATCCCGATTTCGAGAATGATTTTTTAATAGAGAGGTATAATAATAAAAATGTTGAAAGATCGGAACGAAACTTTTCGATCTTCGTTGGCGCGAAGGGAGAGAGGGAAGGGAGGATGTGGAGAGGATCTTTTTTTTTTTTCCCTTCCTACCTCGCGTGAAATCAGATTAAAGTTAACGAGGGATCCAAGAATACACGACACCGTGCGATATCGATTGGTCAGCCACGTATTGCGACAGGGGCCCTAGACGTAGGTCCGTCCCCGATAAGAGCTGAGCTTACTGAAGTGTAGATGCCCTCCATCTGTCCATTCCAGCACAAGGGCTGCCTAATGGGGAGGCGGCACTCCAGCATGCCGCCGCGTATCCTGGAATGCAACCCTACCCCGGTGTCGGTAAGTTTTTTCTTCCCCATTTACTCTTTCCCTCTTCGCCTTCTATCGAGAATTCCGTCAAGCCTTCCGTATCTGCAACGAGTTTTTCATCCAACTTTCAACCAAACGCATTTCAGTAGTGTGCTTTTTTCGATAACAGCACGAGAAGCCTAGCCAAACGGGATTCAGCGATCCAAATCGGATTCCGTAACGAGTTTTGGTTAAAAAGAGAAAAGGGAAAAAAGGAGAAATTATTATTTGACAAAATTGAATAATTATATCGTTCGCGAATATATCTGACGTGGTATTCTCTGTTTCGTCGAATCGAGTAATCGTCGAGCGATAAATTTCGAAAGAACGATTTATTAAAGCGAAGAGAAATGGAATTAAAAAAAAAAAAAAAAAAAGAAAAGCGAAAGCAAATGAATCCGAACGTTCGATTTTAATATGCTTTTATCCGAGCACTCGAGCACTTAACTCTGAAAAATTCGATTCCGCTGATCGCGTTTCATGGCTGTTGCATGCAACTATTGGTCGCATGTGTACATTTATATACGTATATTATACGTAAATGTATATAAATATATATACATGCACTACGCGTACGCATACAGGATGGAACCCTAAGGGACGAAAATTCTATTCCTGATGTCCCTTTTCAACATTCCTCAGCGATCACAACTTTTTCCAACCCAATGTTTCTCGACAATGCAAGAAAAATTATCATTTTTTTTAATTGATTCACCTTCCATCCTGTATACGTATACACAACGACACCAATGTATCGACGTTATCATCCTGTGAATATTATATACATATCGTATATATTATATGTATATATATACGTGTATATATATATATATATATATATATAGGCGCGTTATATAATGCTTCTGGTGTGCTGCTACAGTGTAATTTCAATGTTCTTTTATAATATACTTCGTGTACATTTATATATATATATATTATGTGTATATATATATATATATATGTATGTATATCATAACTCTTGAGCGCATCGTGTACCGTGCATGTTCATCGATACGCAAACAACACGCCGACGTTATAATCGGCTGTCGAAGACCCGAACGATGTTACATCAAAATGCGATATACACCGGGGCAGAAATTATAATCCAATAACCAACATCAAAATGGACGATTCCGTTTCAGAGATAATCAACGTGCCGACGTAACTATACTTCGATTCGTTCCGCTCACCGTTAGCAATTAACGCGCGGGGTTTGATGAATTCTCTGTCCCAATGGTTAAATTAATAACAGAGCGAGCGAGAATTGGTGTTTCACAGTGGAAAGTCTCGTGTAACCAGCCCGTCATTATCGACTGCAAAAACATCGAACCGCGGAAACCTTGACGTGATAACAATTATTCCGGGTATAAATAGGGTGCAGGGTGTGGCAACACTCTGTACGCGATACCGGCGAGAGTTCTCGACGGTGTAAAGATAGAAGGGAAAGCGTGGATATAATAAAATTTGTCGCAATGTTTTCGAGTTTTCGCGTTTAACGCGTGCCAAGTAATTTTTAATCTTCTTCCTTGGAAGAAGAATTGATATGTCACGGTCACTTAACGTAGTTGAAATATTAATTTTTTTTTTTTTTTCCTTTCAAACTTTAAATAATACAAGTCTCGACATTGAAATATCTCGCGTATTCGATCAATTAGATAGTGATTCTTTATACTTTTCCGGATTGATCAAAATTAATTACAATAGCAAAGTCGAAAAGAAAATGATCTTCGAACGTGGCATTTTTTATAATTCGTCTTTACTTATATAAGTCTGTTTTCAAACGAATTTTTGTTCTTTATAATAATTTGTCTAGGATTATTAACCAATAAATAATAATAATAATAATAATAATAAATGTCTGTACGCCGTGTTTCTAACTTGTTATTCAACGCGAATGGATTAATTCCGGGGACTGAAAAATTTCCGGGGGTGGAAAATTGGTAGGGAGTTATTTCACATGTGAAAGTAAATCAAAAATATAGAGTAGAATTTTTTGTTTCGGGTCTTTTTTTTCTTTTTTTTTTTTTTTTTTTTTTTTTTTTTTTTTTTTTTTTTAATAAAATGAAGTTTGAACATGTTTGGACAAGATTTATTCAAGTATACATGTATTCGAACTAAATTTTCTCGAAAACGAAATGTCAAGCGAAAAAATTTTTGTTCATTTTCACGTGTAGAGTACTAATTGTTCTTTTGTATCCAATTCAGCATTTTTTTTTTTTTTTTTTTTTTTTTTGCTTTTTCAGAAACTTTATATTAAATTTTTCATTTATTTTTGCACACAGAATAACTTCATCTATATCCGGTTATACACAAACTTGCCACACTCTGCACAAAGTTACAATAGTCGGAAAAATTTACTTGTGTGTAAGTTGAGCTAAAAAGTTATCAAAAATAATGGAAATCTTGGTTTTGAAGTTGTACGGACGATTTCTTTTCTTTTTCTTTTTCTTCTTTCGAATATCATTTTGATTAAAACAATCCTTAAAACATTTATTGTTTTCTTCGTAACATTAAGATGTAGAGCAAAATTCACACTCTGCTCTATTATTCTCCTTCCAACAATATTCTCGATCAAGATATGAAAAAAATGTTGAGATTTTTATCATCGAAAAACTCATTACACCTTCGTTATTAAAAATAAGAATTTTCGAACCTCCCTTCCCATCCTATGTATTATTTCCTTGTTCCGCCCATTAACCACCCGATAGTTATCCACCTTTTAGATATCCACCCTTCTTTTACCCGTGTCTGTGCACGCGTGCACAACCGAATTTGGTAAAAATTCATCAAATTTGAGGTATGACGTATTCGTAGTCGCCCCGCTGGTTTCGCCCCGTGTTTGCCAAAGACTCGAAAATAGGATATTCTTTTTCTGTGTATTTTCGTCCAATGTACACAGAAGCGTGGAGATCAGCGAGTGGAAAAAAAGCAATCCGAAATATCGCGTGTCCGCTCTATCCGGGCGAACGGTAACCGACGGCGGTACATGATGGCGTATTTATTTCATACGCCAAATGTCGGGACCATCGTTGGAGCGAAACCTCCGCTAACGTCAATCGGAATATATTAAAGCAATGTTTGCACGGAAATAATTAATTTCCAAGCGAAAATTTACCTCTTCTGATCTGAGAGAGCGAACCGCGTATCCCTCCCCCCCCCCCCTCCCCGATCATCCCTCTCCACATTCATCCGTCACAAACAAATATCAATCGCCCGCGCGTTTTAAATATTTGCCAAGGTATAATTAATGCCGTTATAATTGCTTTTCTCTAATATCATGTAGCAAAAGTGCTCGTTTCCATCCCTCCCGCCGTCGAAATATTCCGACGATTGGAAATTGTTTCGAAATAATTCTTTTTCGAACGTTGCGTTCGAGGGAAGATTTTTTTTCGAAACGGTTCGCTTTCAATCTCGAGAAAGAATTTTTCACGACGAATCATTGATCAGTAACGGTTGAAGTTGAAAATATAACAATTTCTTCAACTCTGTTCGATATTCTTCTATTCTAATGTGGTTATTTCAAAAAAACAGTACAATTTTTCCTTTTCGTCTTTCTCATCCTCCAACGCGACAGTTTATCTCTGATTCATCCTTCGACTCTCGAAAACCGTTGCCTTTTTACTAACGCGCATGCGTCTCCGCGCATTATGAGGGGACAGACGGAACGTGCAAGACTTTAAAAGGATATCGTGTGACAGTTAATGTCGGTAATATCCGATAGGAGCGTTGCGAGATACAAAAGTATCGTGTTAAAAGTATGGAGGAGAACAGTGAGAACGTTGAGGCTCGAATATCCTCGTCGTGGAAAAGACCGCAACGCGGTCTGTGGTGATGGTGGTGAAAACGAGACTTCTCCATCTAGTGACTTTTTTTCCTTTCACCTCGCACAGTTTCACCTGACGCCGCGAGACTACGCTTCTCATTAATTCCACGAGCAGCAGAGAATTTAGCGGGGCTATCGCACCTCCCCCATTTTCGTTTTTCGGGTGAATTAAACGCGGTTGTTTTCATCGTTCCATGTTTTGTTACGAGCAATTATAAACTGTCCTGCCATAATTATTTCTCGACCGAACAACAATGCAATTTCGCATTAACTCGATTGACGTCCACCATGCAGTTTACCTTTTATTAATTTCGAACCTCGTTACACCGTTGCATTTCCTCGAATTACAAATTGTCAACGTAATATACATATATATATATATATATATGTATATAGGTATGTACGCGAAAAGCTAGTTGCTCTTTGGTTTCCGAAAAATATTCAACATCTTTGAAAAAGGAAAAAAAAAAAAATAATTTCGAGATATGTGTTATTACGAGATTTACAATATTTTTGGATAATTAAAATTTACAAAAACGGATTCTACGGATGTTATAATCGCGCTTAAGGGTGATTCATTTCACATATACATTTTTCTCATGCAATTTAAGTACGAAAGATATTTTTCCAGAAGAATAATCGACGAGTTTTATTTCTTTTATATATATATATATATATATAAAGAGAGAGAGAGAGAGAGAGAGAGAGAGAGAGAGAGAGAGAGAGAGCTAAAGTTGAGGGTTGAAAGGATATTTTTTTGGAAGGCAGAGAGGCTAGCCAGAGGAGAAAAATTTGCCCTTTCGTTTCGTCTCTGAAACGGTGAAACACGATTTTGCTTTTCTTTTTCTTTTCTTTTCTTTTTTACACGAAAACACTGATGGCCACTTCGAAGCTGTATATTACGGAAGCGAAAATAGGAAGAATAAGAAACGGCATGCACCGCGTGTATAGATGTGGACACATCATGATGTATTTGTTATTTGTTACTGTCGCAGCTTATCCCGCCGTCTACGGCCAGTTTCCTCAAGCTATTCCTCAGCCGATGACCGCTGTGGCACCCACGCAGAGGGAAGGTAAGTACAAAACACTCATCAACGTCTAACTGTTGACTGTAAACACGAATGATTGTAGTCCCGAGATTGTAGATCCAACTCCCAAACGACCAGACACGAGTTTATCCTTCGTCGTAACATCGTGCAAGGTACACAAATTGCGATCCGAAGGGGGAGGGGGAGGGGAAGGGGAGAGGAAGATTATTCTTCCTCGTGCGTTTGAACGAAAAATGTATGGAATACTCGCTAGAAAACGAATTTTTCCGATATATCCGCGGGAAGGAAGAGATATAAAAAGATTAGGAAGAAAACGAAACGAGACAAATTTACAAAGTTTCTTCGAAAAGAATTTTATTTATCACAGACGCATAACACCATAAATTCGAATAACCTCAACTTAACGAACCTGGAAATTGAAAAATCTCTGTCCTACCTTTCTCAATCCACCTTTCCGTTCTATCTATTATCGCACCGTGGCGCCACTGTCGCGTCTTTCCCAAAACCAGCCGGTATTCGATTCGTTGCTCTTTTCACAAGGGATGACGTACAATCGTCGGCGAACTTTCGTCTCGTCGCCATTTTGCGACGAAAATTTTCGAAAGTTCTTTTCCCTCCCTCCTTCGTCATCTCGTCATGTTTCGTTTCCTTCGATCCTAATCCCAGTTCGATCGATTTCTCGCGAGGCCGCGATTAATCAAATCGATCGAATGCGCGGGGATTCGATGATCGAAATCGATGACCGAGTCGAGAGAGAGAGGGAATCATTCCAGGAGAGAGAGAGAAAGAGAGAGAGAGGGAGAGAGAGAGAGGAGGGGATTAAAGATGGCGGATAAGCGGGAGAAAAGAAAGAGGATAGGGCGAGCGGAGCAAGCGCCTAATTGCAATTAACAACTCGCCATTATTAGAATATACGACGCCTAACAATGAGATAATGCAAATAAAACGAAAGTTTTAATTACTTTGCCGTTACGCCTGCCGGCGATCCGTTGTTACATCGTAGGATAATGGGAAGTTTACCGCGACAGCGTTTCCCCTACCCCTCCAACCCTCCCCCCCCCCTCGATATTCCCTATTTTCCGCCAAAGCCTTTCCCCTGTTTTTTCCTCCCTCCCCAAACGCGACTCGCGTATCACGTTGATACATTTTTCGCAATATGCTTTCAATGCTTTCAAAGAGAGAGATTTGATTCGTTAAAGAATTCGAAAGATCGATGGAAAGAATTGGCGGGAAGAATTCTTTGTAAAATTTGCCAGCTTCCCTTTTAGGAGAACTATTCGAGCAAAATTGAGAGATCACCATTCTTTGTTTCACTGAATCAAGAAACAAATTCTGAAAGGAATAAACGAGATTCAGTGATGAACGAGTACGTATTCTTACGATTTATTCTCGATGTATTCTCGACAAGTTTTTGAAAATATTTCGATTTCGATTTATTTTTATCTTTTCCCCCCCTCAAACAAGTGTATGTTGAAATTGCGAAGCGAACGAGAGAGTAGATCCTAATGGAAGAAGACACGACGGCGACACCAGAAGAACGATATAGTTTACTCTCTTGTCATCGTTGCACGACATCGTTATATCAATTTTATATTTATTGTCGCTTCGTTTTTTCTTTCTTTCTTTCTTTTTTTTTTTCTTTTTTTTTTTTGGTTGCTTCTTTAATCTGTTCTCAGTGTATATATTATTATATACGTCTTACAAGGTGTTCTCGGTGTTCGTGCCTATCTCTCTTCTCTTGATCAACGTCGACATTCTCCGACCAAGCTCCACGGAAACTCTACATTTCATTCTTTGGATGGGTTATATCGGTGTGTTTTCGTTGCACTCAATGTCACTATTCTTAGCTGTGCTCGGTGTTTTGCGCTGTCGACAAACATTGATCGTTGCTTTCCCACGACGATCAAATCCGTATACATAGCATTAAATGTATAGAGTGTGCACTTATCAAGGGTTTCGATCGATGCACGTAAGCTCGTCCATAAGATCGAAGGATCGTCGAATCGTGGTCGGGGAAACGATCGATCTTTGAACTTTTGTTTTTTTTAATTTTTAGAAAAAGAAAATTTTCTATTTAGAAGCGTTGTTGTTTTAAGTGATGACAATAGATTCAAAGATCGACGAGATTTTTTAATTATTTTCACGGTGATGGAAAGAACCGAGTTACTTTAATAACATTCTTTTGGAAAAGGAGTCTTTGCGAAAAAGAGAGAGAAATTTAACTCGAATTTTTAAAATAATTTTGCGATACTTTAAATTTCGAACTACATTAATTTTCTTTCAACTTCAACGATTTCGAAGTTGAATATTTATATAAAAGAAAAAAAAAAAACGCTTATATACTTTTTCATGCACATAGTAGAAAATTATTAATTAATTCGACAGTAAGAGAATGTTAATAGCACACCCTCGTTTGGAATAAAACGAAAGGATTTCGAATATTAGCTCGAACGGGGTACTCATCTTAACGTTTCACTCCGCTCGGTGGAGATAGCAACTCCTCTCCTCGAGGTTGCGGGAGGTGTTGCTTTCATTAAATTCGCGTGCACGTCCCGCGCGTGGGCCAATTAGAGAGTCGAAAACCAATTTCAGGATCAACGATCGCATGGCACGACGGCGTGGTTAAATTTATAGCTCGTTCTTCGTGATTCCGGCGTCCACCGCAATTCCTCCTCCATTCTCCCCCTTCCTCGGAACCGGAAACCCGTCGACACCGGCTCTAATTTGGGTTTCACGTGACAACTACGATCGAGTTATTACCGAGACCAAGTCTCCACGAAAGAGAGAACATTTGTTCGTTCTTTGCGTAAACCAACGATCAAAAGTACTCCGTCGAAAATTCTACGTTCCTTTATTTTATTTCATTTATTTCGTTTCGTTTCGAAGAAAAGAAACGACTCCCTTCCTTCCTTCCTTCCTTCCTTCGTTTTGCCTCTTTCCTTCAATCCTCTCCCCTCACCAATTAATATATATTTATATTTTATTATAAAATATTATATTTTAATATAATATATTTTTATTTATTTTTATATTTAATATATTATATTTTAATATAATATATATTTATATTTATATATCAGCTAAGAATTAAACGAGAGAATTTTCTTTTCTTTGTTCTTTGTTAAAAATTAAAATTTTAAAAAAGTAAAATTAAAATTTCAACGGATGAATACGAAAATATTCGATGAAATTATCAAGCAATTAATTAGATTGCTTCTTAAAATCTCGTCCCCGAAACTCAGTCAACTGGCGGCCATTTTGAGAGCCGTAGAGGGAGCTATAATCGACTAAGAACTATGAAATGAACGAGAGCCGCGATCGTTGGCTGGAAACGGACAATTACACTCTCTCTCTCTCTCTCTCTCTCTCTCTCTCTCTCTCTCTCGCGGTAATTCGACACGGTAACGTTCGTAAAAGGCGTGCAAGTGACAGAAGAGCGGAATCTCGGGAACGAACGAGTCGCGATGAGTAGCATCCTAAAAGTTGAGTGGCAGCCATCTCATTACTTAAATGCGTCCGTTAGAGAAGAGCGGAAAGAGAGAGAGAGAGAGAGAGAGAGAGCAAGTTTCCACGGTCATAATCGCCGCTAATTGACGTCGGAGTTATAAAGTTCAGTGAAATTAGCTAAATCCGTATTTGGACTCTCGTTATTCCGACCCCCTTCCTTCCTTTGCCTCTTTCGTTCAATCCCTCCTCCCCCCTCACCAATTAATCGCCGGTGTCTTTATATATATCAGCTCGCGGCTAAGAATTAAACGAAAGAATTTTTTTTTCTTCTTTCTTTCTTCTTTTTCGTTGTCAAAGTTAGTTGGATCAAATATATAATAATCGGAGGAGGAATTGCGCTTCGTTGTTTGAACGTTTAATGAGACACGCGCGATCCGTCATCCCCGTTTTAATTGACGGGAAACTACTTTCGAGAGTAGTTTGGAAGGAAGGAAGGAAGAAATCATCTGGAGGAGCGTAAGATATTTTGGGGAGAGATTCGAACGAATGAAGGGAAGGGGAAGAAAAGGGGTGGGCGAGTTATTTTCACGCAAATCGCGTGTCCATTCGAAACAGGGGGATCGAGTTATGATTGCGTAGCATTATGACGACGGATCAACGGATGTCTGGCATTCTCATGTAAAGTGTCGCACCATCGTAATCACAGTATCATCACTGTCACCAACACCTCCTATATAATATCCATTTGCATTCATTTTTTTTTCTTTTTTTTTTTTTTTTTTTTCTTAAATATCCCTTCACCTCGCTCGTCATTGTGTTGTGAGTCCCAGTGTTGTGTGTTTGTATATTTGAAAGTATAAATACTCAACGTTTTTTTACTTGAACCGGGAAGAAACTCATTGTCGTAAACAAACATCGTCGTGACATTCTAATCATTACTCTCTTCGTCGTCTCCCCCTCCCCCTCGATCCATTTCTTTCATTCTTCATCTTCGTTCTCTTTCCTTTCCTCTCTCCCCTCATCTCACTTTCAACCAGTCAGTCCAGATCAATCATCCCTTGCATCTTCTTCTTCGTATCCCTCTTTTCGAATCCCGAAAGTGACGCGATTCATTGAAAAAAAAAAAAAAAAGAAATCATCCTTGAAATTTCCGCGCGACGAGAGAGAAATCAGATTGTCATTGTCAAAGACGGTCACGAATCTTCATCTTCATTCATCANAAAAAAAAGAAAAAAAAAAAAGAAAGGCATCCAGACGAGAATCGTTGAAGAAATCTGGGAGAGAGGAATGTGTTTCATACTCGCTGTGACGCGAGGTGGCTCTCCCTATCGCGTCGGAATCATTATATTGCGAAGAACGAAACTCATCCAAGAAACTAACATTCTAACTTGAGTATTATACTTCAAGTTTAGATGTTTAGATGTGCTCTGATTTATATGGTAGGATGCTCTATCTCAGGACCCGAAGGCTGCAACCTGTTCATCTACCACCTGCCTCAAGAGTTCGGTGACGGTGAGCTCATGCAGATGTTCATCCCCTTTGGCAACGTCATATCCTCCAAGGTTTTCATCGATCGGGCAACCAACCAGAGCAAATGCTTCGGTAAGTGTAAGTCATTTAACACTTGGAAGAGTGGCCCTTGGAACGGGAAAACGAATGGCCGTTGACGACAGGTAGGATGGCTAAGACTCGGAAGCTTGGGGGAAGCTTCTCTCGTCGTGGTGACCAATTCAGCTTCGAGGATGAAAATTTTCCCTTCCCTAATTTATTCCCCTCGCTGTTCTCTTAACTTGGCTTAAACTTTTCTCGTTTCTTATCAAAGAACAACAAAGAAACGCGTATTTTCCAAAATTGTTAAATTATTTCGAATATAAATAAGAATATGAAAACGAAAAGCTTGAATTATCCTTTCGATTATCGAAAAATCTATATGTCTGTTCCGTAGTACGTAGTAAAGATAAAAATGAATTATCTTTTAGAATTCGAAAATTGTATCCTTTCATACGTAAAATATTCAACTCGTCGAGCACGAGAGATTATTCTCGATTTTACAACTTGATGAACTGTTTCTTTCTTTTTTTTTTTTTTTTTTATTAAAAGTGAATATACTCGTCCGATTGTGACTCGACTGAAATGGAACTAGGTGGTCCTTTTGGTTAAATCGGAAGGGATCGGGACAAAAGGAAGACCTGAAAAACCTACAGCAGCGACAGCTTTGATTAATCGTGCAGCCGGGATGAATGCGCAAATATGAGTGCGGATAATTGGACGGATATATTCTTCTTAGCCTATTCATTCGTAACTAGCACGATTAATATTTTTCTGCCTATCGGTGCCGATTATCGCGACAGATACAGTCGGATGAATTTCATCCGTTGAAAGGATGCTGTTCTTTATATTCTCGGTTTCGTTATGCGCGCCTTTCCCCGTGTAATTATCGAAACGTTGATGAAAAGGGGGATGCCCAAAGTGCGCATATCATTCAGCATCCGGGGGGCCTACACTTTGAAATCGACACTCTGTCGTCAATTTTCCCCGGGGTTATAATAACTAACGATGAAAAAGAATTATCGAAATAGCTAAATAAAGTACATACTTTTCTTTATTATCGACCGAAACAAATAATGGACGAGAAAATGTTTGTGAAAATGATTTACAAGAGATATATCCTCGTAGATAGAAAACAGATCGATCAAAAATTCATTCAATGTCTGGAATATATGCAATTTGAAATATGCTCGTTTACTACCTTCTGTGAATGAATACGATGATACATGAAAAGAAATTTTATTGTTTTTAACTTTTCTCAGATACTACAAAAGATATATATATATTCGAATCGAATTTGATTAAAGAATATTTATAACTCCTCTAAAAGTAGTATTGGACGAGATTACGATTATTTGCTTGAAATTCGATAAAGAAGGGAGGAGGAAAGGAATTCTTTTCCTTTTGGAACAGAGGGGAGGTAAAGCCTCTTCAGTCACCTAGTAAAAGTAATTTACGAACTCTGGGTAAAAGCGGTGGCCGTTGAGCGATGAGGAGCCGCGATTGGTCAGGCAATAGGCCGCCATGATGGCAAAACTAAAATTGGATCGGGGCTAATGGTCAAAATTGGCTTAAACTGGGAGGGCCCTGATGACCTTTCAGTGGCGCTTCTGTTGTTAAGAGCTTCGTTATCGTCCACCTTCTCTCTCCCTCCTCCTCCTCCTCCTCCCCCTTTCTCTTATTCTCGATAAAACTTCGATAGTACCGAGACCCCCCCCCCCCCTTTCAGAAAACTTTTTATTCCTCGCGGCGAATCAGCTAATCTAAATCACTGGTTACCAGGCCCTTTGCGATAATCCCGATGCCCCCAGGTGTCGATATTCAACTTACCGTTTTCATCGTAAAGTCGAGGAATATCGCGACCAATTTCTTGGATCCGAATTCAAGTGGAAAGGAAAGGATTCGGTGTCTATCTCGAGTAGGCAGATGCCAAGTTTCCTAATATTTCTCTTCTCTTCTGTATTTCACTTCTGTGAAAGCAATTTATTTAAAAGAAATGTTCTCCTTTCTAATTATTCGATCGTCGTTAATTTAATTATTTCACCGATCAGGAAAATTTATCGTTATTTATTCTTTCAGGTTTCGTGTCGTTCGACAATCCAGCGAGTGCGCAGACAGCAATTCAAGCGATGAATGGCTTCCAGATAGGGATGAAGCGTTTAAAAGTCCAGTTAAAGAGGCCCAAGGACGCAAGCCGGCCATACTAACCAAAGTCCTAGCTTAGAGAAACTGGACGATACGCACCCTACATCATAACCCACAGAGTAAGTTTCGAGAAAGATGAAGAGAAAGAAAAGAAAAGAAAGGAAAGAATAAAAGGAGAATAATCCCTAAAAAATAAATAAAAATAAAAACGTTCAAATAATTGTACAAAATATTGTTTATTCGAGCACGTCCCCCCACGTCTTTTTCGTTTTCAATTTCGTACTAAAACTAAACGGAATCGAACATTTCTAATTTCAGATGTCGTACAAGAACACGGGCTTATTGAACGCTCGACGATCAGAAGTGATGAGTTTGAATCACCGTTACAACGCTCTCCACTATAATAACCTAGTATACTAGTTAGATAAATTAATTAGAGGATAACAATTAGAAGTCAGTAGATTGACTTCGCCGGCAGCCACGCGGCGAGGACGAAGAGGCTGATAACGCTAATGAGAACACATTGGATGTCCAGCGCTGAACCCAGTCAGTCCGAGAGAAAGGCGAAAAGAAAAGAAAGAGAAAGAAAGAAAGAAAGAAAGAAAGAAAGAAAGAAAGAAAGAAAGAAAGAAAGAAAAACGCGAGAATAGGATTCACGTTTCGAACAAAACGAACACTCTCGGATGCTCGGATACGATTAATCCTTTTACTAAACAAAACAAAAGAAAAAAACAAAAAAAAAAAAAAAAAAAAGAACGGAACACGCGTCGATCTTTCTCATCCTCTTCTTTCTATTTTCCTACATCTTATTATATTTTATACATATTTTTCCGTTCTTCACTCTCGATCCCTACTGCCAAACGAGAACCCGTATCGGAATAACGGAGCAAAAGAAAAAAAAAAAAAAATAATAAAATCTTTCGATACGCGTTTCTTCTCGACGACAACGACGTCGTCCTCGTCGTCGTCGTCGTCGTCGTCGTCGTCGTCGTCCTAGTAACGAGTTTTATCATCCGATCATCCGGGACAAGTAGAAATTAAACGGGAGCCTTTAAGAGCCTCTCGGCCAGGTTTTATCGTTTCGACGACACGCTAACTCTTAAATGGTTTGATAAATCACGTGATGGGAAAAAACGTTCAAGTGCGGGCGACTTTCCAGGTAACGGTAAACCAAAGAAGATACAAGAGAAGATATAAGAAGAAGGAGAAGAAGAAGGAGAAGAAGAAAGAAAAAATAAAAAAAAAGAAAACTCTTAGTTCCTGACGAAGCGGCATGGCGATTGTAGCCGACCGACTGTTTAAAAAAAAAAAAAAAAAAAAAAAAAGTTAACTATTACCGCGATTCGACCCATAGAAATACGAAAGAAAGTACCTATTTCAGAGATTCTCTAGGGAAAACACGAGTCCAGTGTGTATCGGTTGAATTCGTTTGTATCGCCTTTTTTAGAGAAGAGGACGCAAACTTTGCCAATTTTTTTATTTCCAACAAGCAACCAAAGATACAACAAAACCGTCGAATATCCGGATTTAGGATTTTTTCGGTTTTTCGTCGAACAAAGGTGATCATCGCGTTAATAATATCGCGGATAGGAAGGTCGTTAGGATCGTTTCTTACGATACGTAGTGGTGTTCCGTGGAAAGGACCGACGCGGTCTCTCCTAACGCAAATTTGTCAATCACGTATACAGGGTGCTCGTCTCACGCAACGTCTTTAAAAAAGAAAACGAAAACGAAAACGAAAAAAAAAAAAAGAAAAAAAAAAAAAAGAATTTCTAAAATGAAAACTACGTACTACTACTACTACTACTACTACTACTATTACTACTACTACTATTACCACATACTATTACACACACACATACACACACACACACGTATTTAAAATATACATCGTATACACTCGAGTACATGTACACACGACGCGCACACACGACGCACACACATGGCCGAATACATACACACACACACACAGATATTATAACATACACGTATATATATATATTAACCGATACGAAAATCATGGAATCAGTGCCGACCCCAAAACTCGCGGGTTCTTCTTATCGGTTCTTCTTATGTTTAAGAATTCATCGCATTACGCCGTAGTAGGTTTTATATATATATATATATACACGTGAGAGAATTTCAAGGGATCGTTAGTGCCGTGTCAAAGAGTGTGTCATTTCGAAGTCCGGTCGTCCGCGCCACGGCGCTCGTTTCAATCGCCCATCAACCGTCGAATATTTATTAATTATTATATTATCCCTCCCCCCCCCACCCCCAATTATCATCATCCTTATTATTATCGATCGATTAAGTACGATTTTATGGTTAAGTGAGGAAAAAAAAAAAAAAAAAAAAAGGAAGGGAAAAAATTTCCGGCCGAAACTTATGTACATCCATCGGGATTCCTTTTGTAAAGGAGGGATCGTTCGATCACTAACACGGTTCCGAATTTTCACAGATTCCGGGATTCCTGTCGTTGTCCATTCTCACGGCTCGATCATTCGAAAAAATGACGAAATCGTTTTGTCGTTTGACCGACGCATCGCCCGAGAAATGTCAACCAGGCTGTGATTATCCAAACGAAACAAAAAAAAAAAAAAAAAAAAAAAAAAAAAAAAAAAAAAAAAACAAAAAAAAAAGAGTAACCAAAAGGGGGTTGAAAAAAAGAAAAAATAAAAAGAAAACGACGCGACGACCAAAAGGGACTAAATATATATATATATATATGCAACAACAAGAAAGATCGAGTGTCCCTCTTGCGCGGAATTGTTTCTGCAAAATACGACGTAGAGGGAAATAGGGGAGAAGGAAATAGTATAGAATCGTTTAAAACAGAATTGAACTTAGGCTTTTTCGAAGAGCTTTATATTTTAATTTTTTTATTCTACCTAGTCTGTGTCTAGTCATTTTTTTTATATATATATATATTTTGCATTAGAATTTTAGCATTCACAATTATATTATTTCGTTCTACATGTATAAAGAACGTGTTTTCCGATATAGGATATTTATTTAATATTCGCGTGAACCAAAACCAAAGTAACTATTTAAAACTTAGGATAAACTATTTTATATTATCTTTTGAAGGTCTCGAGGAACTCGAGATCAAGTGCAATTTCATTTTTCTAGATTAATTCATTTTATTTTATTTATTTATTTTTTTTTTTTTTTTATTTACTTTACCAAAGTACGTTGTTCCTGAGAAATCATCACGATCGAACGTCGCGTCTTGTGTAATTCGTAATTTATTTCATGTATCTCTGGAATGAATACAATGAATACGTTCGCGAGACGCTTGTGGTTGTGTTTACGAACTTATCGTATTGTTCCTCGTTTGTTTTCGTTAAGAGTTGTAGCTTGTTATCATTCGTTATCAATCTCGTTTCAAGAGACAACGATGACAATTAGAGAGAAATTTTTTTGTTCTTTTCTTTTAGGAATAGGATTTATCCGCAAAGCGAAAACACGCAACACAAGTACTTGAGTTGATACATGAGTTATCATAGAATTTGTGCCTACCCTGATGTGAAATGGCAACGGACGGTACACATTGTGAATATTTTTTTAAGCACGAAATAAATAAAACATTTGGACATTTAACGAGCGATGCCCGGTCGAATTAAGAAAAAAGAAGAAAAAAAGAAAAATGAGTTTCGCGCGAGCTTCATGATTCATACGATTCAGAACGAAAGCCAAGAAAGGAGGATAAGAGGTGGAAAAGAAAGATGAACGAAAACCAAAAGACATGCGCAAAGTACGTTAGAAAGAGAGAGAAAGAGAGAAAAAAAAACTAGTGCAGGCGAGCGATGGAACGGAGAAGAAAACTCTGATCTAGCGGAAATAATCAACCAAAGTACCAACAACTATTCTATATATAAATATATAAATATGAATTATTGAAGAAGGAGTATATATATATATATAAATATAAATATTATAAATATGAAATATAAATGAAATGAATATATATATATATATATACATATTGACCGATCGAAGAAGGTAAAAAAACTAGAAACTTAGTAAATTATTATATAGTTTAGCTAAATCAACATGGAATAAATTATTATTTCGAAGGACAGGGAATGGGAGGACCGGCTCTAGTCTGGCGCAATTTATGACACGACTAAAAGCTATCTCAAATTTATACGCTATTTAAATAAATATAACAAATGCTACAAGAAAAAAAAATATATATATATATAAATGTATAAACGAATATACGAATATACACGTATATGCACACATTGTACGGACGTATATATTTATTTATTTATATATTTATATATAATATACGTATAAATAATGTATTTATAGTTTATAGGGGCAGGCAACACCCTTCTCTTTACTTTTCCACCTGTTCGTACGATACGTTGCCTGTTGCGTACACACACTTCGCACACAAAACCAATGAATCATTGCAAGAGACACTTACTTGCTAACTTCACTTATACATACGTACATACATACACGCAACCAAATATACGATATAATTAATGTAAAAACAAAAGAAAAAAAACAATCGTGGTACATACGTGTACGTGGTTCACGTGTACGTGAACGTGGTGGCGCGTACAAGTAATTACTCGCGAGACTAAGAAAAGAAAAATTAAGGAAAAAAAATGGAGGGGCGCGCTATAAATTTCTCCCCTCCGGTGGAAAGCCCAAACGACTTGCTAGTTATTGATGAAATATTATTATATCTATATATATATATAT